ACAATATACATACCAAACAAACATTTCCAAAAAAATTAAATAAGGCACTCTAGAGTGCACCTGTAGGGATTTTCAGGTTTTGGGAATAATAGCTAGTATTTAACTGAAATATAACAATGGCCATGCAATATGCAATATACAACATATATAATACAAAACAAACATTTCCAAAAAAAAAATAAGTAAGGCACTCTAGAGTGCACCTGTAGGGATTTTCAGGTTTTGGGAATAATAGCTAGTATGTAACTGAAATATAACAATGGCCATGCAATATGCAATATACAACATACATAATACAAAACAAACATTTCCAAAAAAATTAAGCAAGGCACTCTAGAGTGCACCTGTAGGGATTTTCAGGTCTTAGTATATAAGTATAGAATTGAAATATAAAAATAATGAATATGTAATATACCAAATGCGTGCAAATTAAGCGTATAATTAGTAAGGCACCCCTGAGTGCAAATGTACGGATATTCAGGTCTTAGACTTAACGCCTAGTGTATAAGTATATAACTGAAATATAATAACAATGAACATACAATATACGTACAAAATAAGGGTATATATGCGTACAAAATAAGAATATAATTAAGTAAGGCAACCCCGAGTTCAAATGCATGAATATTCAGGTCTTAGGGATAACATTTAGTATTTAAGTGTACCGAACTGAAATATGATAATAATGAACATGCAATATACAAAATGCGTACAAAATATAAGCGTATAATTAAGTAAAGCACCCCTGAGTGCAAATGTACGGATATTCAAGTCTTAGGGATAACATCTAGTGTATTGAACGGAAATATTATAATAATGAAATGTATAAAATGCATACCAAACAAGCGTATACGAAAATAATTAAGTAAGTACAAACGCACTGATATTTTTGGTCTTAAAGATAACAGCTAGTATATAAGTATAGAACTGAAATATAATAATAATAAATATGCAATATGCAATATAACTGTATAAACTAACAAAATAAGCATACATAAAAATAATAAAGCGAGGCACTCTCGAGTGCTAATGTACGGATATTCAGGTCTTAGGCTTAACACCTAGTGTATAAGTATATAACTGAAATATGATAATAATGAACATGCAATATACAAAATGCGTACAAAATATAAGCGTATAATTAGGTAAAGCACTCCTGTGTGCAAATGTACGGATATTCAGGTCTTAGTTTATAAGTATAAAACTGAAATATAATATAACCTAGTATATAAGTATATAAACAAAATATAATAGTGACCATGCGATATAGAAAATAACTATATACAAAATAAGCATATACCAAATAATTAAGTAGTCGAGTGAAATGTACGGATTTGCAAGTGTTAGGGATAAGACCTAGTATATAAGTATATAACCAAAATATAATAGTGACCATGAAATATACAAAATGCATTACAAAAATAAATACGCCAAGCACTCTTGAGTGCAGCTGTAGGGATTTTCAGGTCTTAGTATATAAGTATAGAATTGAAATATAATAATAATAAATATGTAATATACAACATGCATTACAAAAAGGGCGTATACAAAAATAAATACGCCAGGCACTCTCGAGTGCACCTGTAGGGATTTTCAGGTCTTAATATATAAGTATAGAATTGAAATATAATAATAATGAATATGTAATATACAAAATGCGTGCAAAATAAGCGTATAATTAGTAAGGCACCCCTGAGTGCAAATGTACGGATATTCAGATCTTCGTTTATAAGTATAAAACGGAAATATAATAATGGCCATGCAATATACAAAATAAATATATAAATACATAAATGTATATATATATATATATATATATATATATATATATATAAATTTTCAATAAACTCTAACTTTGAACATTATTTTCAGGTCATATTATCGTCCTATTACTACAAGCCTATATGCTACAGCTTGGATAAAAAGAGCAGTCTAAGAATTCTCCTTATAATACAAGATAAGATAAGTGAATGAAGATGCTGCAAAGGTAGGATTTTTTTTATTGTATCTTATATATCTATTATTTATAAGTCAGTAATATGATAATGACCATGCAATATAGAAAATAACTATATACAAATTAAGCATATAACTGAAATATAACAATAGCCAAGCAATATGCAATATGCAATATACAACATACATACGAAACAAACATTTCCAAAAAAATTAAGTAAGGCACTCTAGAGTGCACCTGTAGGGATTTTCAGGTCTTGGGGATAATAGCTAGTATATAACTGAGATCTTACAATGGCCATGCAATATGCAATATGCAATATACAATATACATACGAAACAAACATTTCCAAAAATAATTAAGTAAGGTACTCTAGAGTGCACCTGTAGGGATTTTCAGGTCTTAGTAGTGTTCTTTCCTACATGCGGTAAATAACTTTATATTTGTATTTATTTTTATCTTTGTATTTCATTCAATTTCAAAAGTAATATTCATTAACTTCTCATTCAATTTCAAAATTTAATTTCCTTCTATAAACAGTATTGCCAAGCAAGTTTTCAATTCTTCAATGTTGTCCCTTAACATTCCGCATTCTTTGTTGCGTTGAATAATTATTCCGCAATCTAAGTTGTGTGAATGGGGAAGGTGAGATCGGGACCCTGGCGCTAAGTTTTGCTTACCTAATCTCGAACCCTCCCTGGATCATATGGGACCCTGGCGCTAAGTTTTGCTTACCTAATCCTGATCCCTACTGCGAAGGGTTGAAAGCAAGTTTGGCAATTCTGTCCTTTTCAATCATGAGTTTCAATATCCTACTTATTTTTTTTTATTTATAACGGTTTATTTCGGTGAATGTACACATTTCTCAGTAAATGTCACACTTACCATTTTGTTTTGGTAAATACTTTTACATTCTTTTAAATTTTAAATATAAATTTACCTATAAATATAAATAATAAATAATGAACGAAGAGTAAAAAATTTCAATATTCAATTATCGATTTTCAATTTTCAATTTTCATTTTCAATTTTCAATATTCAGCAGTTCTTAACTGTCTATTCTTAGTTGTAAGTTCTTTGTCGGCAGTTCTTAGCTGTCTATTCTTAGTTGTAAGTTCTTAGTCGGCAGTTCTTAGCTGTCTATTCTTAGTTGTAAGTTATTAGTCGGCAGTTCTTAGCTGTCTTTTCTTAGTCGGCAGTTCTTAGCTGTCAGTTTGTAGTTGTAAGTTCTTAGTTTTAAGTTCTTAGTTTTAAGTTCTTAGTGATAAGTCAATAGTTAATAGTCATTCATTATAGTTTTTTTTAGTTGCAATATCTGTTAGAACTGCTGAATAAAATAAATAGTTATGATCAATAGTTCAACTCACATTTGTCAAATGAGCCGGTAAATGTAAACATTTACCGAGAAGTGTGTACATTCACCAAAATATGCACATTTATCGTAACGTACATACCAAACAAACATATTCAAAACTAATTATGTAAATTTAAATGTTCAGTTATTAGCCGCTGTGAACACTACACTATTTTTTGAGCACTTTCGAGTGCACCTGTAGGGATTTTCAGGTCTTGGGGATAATAGCTAGTATATAACTGAAATCTAACAATGGCCATGCAATATGCAATATGCAATATATAATATACATACGAAACAAACATTTCCAAAAAAATTAAGTAAGGCACGCTAGAGTGCACCTGTAGGGATTTTCAGGTCTTGGGGATAATACTTACTATTTAACTGAAATAAATATAACAATGGCCATGCAATATGCAATATACAACATACATAATACAAAACAAACATTTCCAAAAAAATTAAGTAAGGCACTCTAGAGTGCACCTGTAGGGATTTTCAGATTTTGGAGATAATACTTACTATTTAACTGAAATAAATATAACAATGGCCATGCAATATGCAATATGCAATATGCAATATACAACATACAAACGAAACAATCATTTCCAAAAAAATTAGGTAAGGCACTCTAGAGTGCATCTGTAGGGATTTTCAGGTCTTGGGTATAATAGCTAGTATGTAACTGAAATATAACAATGGCCATGCAATATGCAATATGCAATATACAACATACATACGAAACAAACATTTCCAAAAAAAATTAAGTAAGGCACTCTAGAGTGCACCTGTAGGGATTTTCAGGTCTTGGGGATAATAGCTAGTATATAACTGAAATATAACAATGGCCATGCAATATGCAATATGATATATACAATATACATATAATACCTAGTATATCAACAAAATATCAACAAAATTAATTAAGTAAGACAGTCTCGAATGCATCTGTTGGGATATTCAAGTCTTTGATAACTGATACATAATAATGCATATACAATATACATAATTCGTATATATATATATATATATATATATATATATATATATATATATATATATATATATAAACATCTTCAATACCCTCTAATCTTAAATATTATTTTCAGGTCATACTATTGTCTTATGACTACAGGCCTGAATGCTTCAGCTTGGATAAAAAAGCAGTCCGCAAATTCTACCTATGATACAAGAGATAAATGGACGATATTTAAGGTAAGATTTTCATTTATTTTAACACTAGTATATAATAATATACTGGCTATACAATATAAGTAAGAAATAGCTATGAGCTGAATATACATTGTTGAAATTATGTTTAAAGGCCTCAGTAATAAAATAAATAATGAATAAGACAATTTATTTATATATATAATATATATATATATATATATATATATATATATATATATACATATATATATATGTATATATATATATAATATATACATATATATATATATATATCTATATATATATATATATATATATATATATAATTTATAGTTTATGTTTTATAAATTTTGAAATAATATTGAAAGCCGATATTGAAATAATATTGATATTATAATTCTTGTTAACCTCTCAGCTGTCAAAAGTGAAAACTGTCAACTGCACATGTTCAACATGTCAAAATTGACTTCAAATGGTTTTAATTTGAATTAACATCATAATTAAATGACAAGACAATAAAGACAATACATAATCATGAATGGAAATAAAGATACAGCACTTTCCTCGAATTTTTATAAAAATAAGACAATTTTAGCACCTATGGTAAGAATAGGAACACTTCCTATGCGTTTACTTGCATTAAGATATGGAGCCGATATTGTTTATACAGAAGAATTAATAGATTGGAAATTTTTAAGATCTAAAAGACGTATTAATGGTAAAAATAATTTGTGTATAAGATGGTACAAGTATATTTAATTATAACCCTTTTTTACAGATGTGTTAGGTACTGTCGATTATGTTGACCAAACGGATGGCACGATAGTTTTCAGAACATGTCTTGAAGAAAAACCAAAACTGGTTCTACAAATTGGTACATGTGATCCTGAACGAGCTCTTAAAGTCGGCCTCATGGTGTAAGATTTATATACCACTATATACACACACCATATTATTACATTATTAATTATTTATTATTAATTCTTTCTTTCTCCAGACAGGATGATGTATCAGCCTTAGACATAAACATGGGTTGTCCCAAAGAATTCTCAATAAAAGGCGGTATGGGTGTAGCCTTGTTAGCAAAACCCGAGAAAGCCAGAGTGATATTAAAAACTTTAGTAGACGGTTTAAGAATACCCGTTAGTTGCAAAATTCGGATTTTGTCTACTACACAAGACACGATAGACTTGGTTAAATCTTTTGAGGCTACTGGAATATCTGCAATAGGCATCCACGGTCGTACATGGGAGGAAAGGCCACAACACAAGGTTCATCCGGATGTGATAAAAGCTGTTGCTGAAGAAATTGGCATCCCCGTCATAGCCAAGTAATAATAATAATAATAAACATAATATATACATGGATATATATATATATATATATATATATATGTGTGTGTGTATATATATATACATATAAATAATATAGTTCATTTATATTTTGTTATTTTTTAGTGGTGGTTCAAAAGAAATAGAAAAGCATGAAGATATTGAAAAATTTCGAGAGTCATGCGGTGCCAGCAGTGTAATGATAGCACGAGCTGCCGAATGGAATTGTTCAATATTTAGAAAAAACGGTTTGCTGTGTATGGACGATGTTATAAAGGAATATTTAAAAATCGCTGTAGATTATGATAACTCGCCTTCAAATACTAAATATTGCATACAGAATATATTGAGGGAGCTACAAGATACTCCAAGGGGCAGGAAGTTTTTAGATTGCCAAACTTTAGAACAAATATGGTATATATATTTATATAAATATATATATATATATATATATATATATATATATTAAAGAAGTTAATTTTGATGTTGAGAAATATGAGTAAGTTCTTCAAGGGCATACATCAAATACCTTTGCCAAATCTTTGCCTTTAATTTGATGTATGCCCTTGAAGAACTTACTCATATATATATATATATATATATATATATATATATATATATATATACACTAGCAAACCCGACGAACTCCGTTTCGCCACCAGATGGTTTCGTGAGAAAGATGAAGAAATTTTTTGTTTGTTTTATATTTGAAAAGGAAAAATTTGATTTTATTATACAACAGTAATGAATTTATTTCGATTACAAAAATGTAGTGTTTTTTAGTTGAACTTCTCTAAGTAAATGAAAGTGAATCCGCAAATTATCCGTTTCATTGAAATGCTCTTTGCTAAACCACATTTTTTGTTTTTTGGTCTGACGTTAACACAAACAAAGCGCATGGTTTTCCAACTCGTGAACAGGCAACTGCCCATGTGAAAAACAATGATTTTCTAAATAATCTATTTGAAATTTACCCGCAAACACTAAGCGATTGGCCTTGCGACTTGTTATTGCGAACGCAAGGCGAACTGTAAATTGCAATCGTTTGAAGTCAAACGGAAGACCAGTCGGAATCATTGGTATGTCACCAAATCCCCAGCAATTTTTGATTGAACGGTGAAATTTAGTGCGTGTATATCATTATTCTTTGCGGCAAGAATTGCTTGTTGACTTAACCAAGCATAATTCTGATAATTCTCACCAATGTTATTACTCGAATTTTTAATTACGGTGCGTGAAGTTCCAGCAATTTGCATTAGGGCACGATGCCATGCACAACTAATTTTCTTAGCTATAAACCTTGCGGAGCCCGAGACCTTTCCAACGAATGCAAAACTGTCGAAATCGGTTTGTGCGTTCTGGAGTTATTTCGTCAATCCCGACTTATTTTTATATATATAGAAAATAATTCTTTGTTTTAACGGCTTTATCGATTTTTATCAAATTTAATATGCGTATTCAGTAGGTCTGAGAATCGGTAACTACATATTTTTCATATCCCTAAGTGTTAAGGGTTGTTCACACTTAATTTTTTTTTTTGTAATTTTTGACGGATTTTTTTTTTTTTTTTTTTTTTATAATGTGGAATTAAGAAATACATACAATCCAAGATTTTTACTTTTTCATTACCAACCCCTATCTTTTTATAGCCATTTTAGTTGTCCGAACTTAATTTTTTTTAATTTTTGGAGTCAACTATAATTTTAATTTCTTTAATGCGGAATTGACAAAATACATACAACTTTTTTTTACTATTTATTTTTATTGAGGGTTGTCTACCCCTACTGTTTTTTTAAATTTGTTGAACAATTTTCTCTATTTTAATTTTCTATCATTTGAAATTGAAAAATAATAAAAATGTGGGGTGCTTTGCAGTGGGTAAACTATTCATATATTTATTGTTACCCGCTCCTTTCACTTATGCATCACATTTGCAATCAGTTAGTTATTTTCGTACTAACCATTTGATACAAGAAATATTTTTTTTTGCAAAACGAAGTTTGCTGGGTCAGCTAGTATCTATATATATATATATATATATATATATATATATAAAATATAAATCCATTATCCCTTACCTTTAGTGCGATTTGGGACATGGGTGAATACTGTCGATCCAAACAAAACGAGTACAGACTAGCAGGACTCCAAGGACGTTGGCAAGTCGATCCTGGCAATTTGGAACCTAGCAACAAAAGAATAAAAATTAGCGAAAATATAGAAAATAACGAAAATCTTATAGAAATGAAAATGGCATTTTTGAGAGTCAATTTTCCTATTGATACTGATTTACCGAAATGCAAACTACATACGTGGGCACAAAAACAAAACTTTGACCTGCCCACTTACGAAACACACAGGGAGGATAAATTATTTAGGACTGTGCTGACGTTTCGAGGAAAATCTTATACTTCTTCATACTGGTAATAATAGATACATACATATATATTAGGGTGGTCCTTAATATGGATATGATCGAAATTATTTGCTCCCAAGGGCTCAAAAGCTTCCAAATTGTTAAAAAAAAATCTCTAATAGTTTTAGCTCTTAAATATTAACATTTAGATAGTCCGCAATTAATTTAAAAATGTTCATATGAAGGACCACCCTAAATTATATATATATATATATATATATATATATATATATAATAGTATTTTTTTCCTTTGCAGGGAGAAAAATAAACGTTTTGCAGAACAAGGTGCAGCTTTAGTATGTCTTTGCGCTTTAGGTTTAGTTGAAACATCAACTTTACTAGACAATGGCAGTTTATTTGCTTAAATTTTTAATTATAAATGTATATATGTATATAAATGTAAATGCATTATTTTTGTATTTTAATAACTATTTTTTTTTAATTAAAAATATCAATGAGAAACTAGTATAAGTACTGAAGAAAGAAACTGAGAAAATTTGGAAACTAATTATTTTTTAAAAATACTTCAAATAATTTTGATAAATTAATAATTGAAATAAAACTTGATGAATTTTCTTCTAATATATACTTGCTATTAAATTTTTTAAATAGTTAAATTGTACACAAGGCTGAATGTTAAATTTAATTTTAATTAAATTAGTTTTTATTATATATTTATTTATAAAATTTTCTAAGCAAGCTAAACTATATATGGAAAAATAAAAAACAAAAAAATCATGACATTTTAAAAATAAAATTCAAAATTATAGTAACATCAATATATTTTTTAAATATTTGCACCGATGTCGATACATCCACGTTAAAAAGGTGAGTTTTATTTGTTAGAAAAAGTGTATTAACAAGGTGTAAGTGGCATTTTGCTCTAGGTCCAAGTTGCATGAAATTTCCGACATAATAAAATATAATAAATAAACGACTTATTCGCTATTATATGCGATTAAGCAATTTGCGAGTAGATAAAATTGAGATTTAAAAAATATTCGATATAAAATTGCATCAGCTAGATTTACTGATGAATTAATCTCCGCGTTTGAGGAGCAAATTACAGAATTCATAAATTTCATATAATTGTTTTCTATAATAATTTGTTTGTAATCTGTGTACATAGAGGTTATATAATAAATCATTATAAAATATGTAGTTCTAACAAAAATCTTAACAGGCATGCTGCAAATAGTCCAGAATGATTTTTTTTTTATTTCCATTTCTCTTCTAGATAAAAATAACAAAATTCTAAAAAAAGTAACCCAAGATTTAACTCAAGATGCCTGATAACAAGAAGGCGTTCCTGAATATGGCCGTGGCCCTTTCTTCAGGTTGGGCCGCCCAACAAACAAGGGCTCTTCTGTATTCCTGTAACACTTTCAGGATCGTTTTCGTGTCAGGATTGTACGGGATGTATCGATATTGTAAGTGATAAATTTTATTTTATTTTATAGAGATTAAAGCTTATAAAATTCTCCTCATGTATTTACTAATTTTAGAAAATGTTTGTACGTTTTTTTGATATTTGTTTAAAATGTGCAAAAACTTGTTGAAATACATATGTTGTAGCTTGAAAGCTTATAAAATTCTCAGCATAACTGCATTTACCGATTTTCAACTTTTGGGACAAAATCATTACGAAAAAATTCGTTAAACTTTAAAATCATATAGCTTTGCTGGTTTATTTCATATTGGTTTGAAATGTGCAAAAACTTGTTAAAATACATACATTTTATTTTATATATTTTAAAAGCGTATAAAATTGTCTACACAACTACTTTTACCAATTTTCAGCTTTTGACACAAAATCTCTACGAAAAAACTCGTTAAACTTTAAAATCCTATATCGTTTCAAACAAATTGTTCGTACCCTTTTTAGACATTTGTTTAAAATGCACAAAAACTTGTTAAAATACATATATTTTATTTTGAATACTTTAAACTCTGATAAAATTCTCTATACAACTGCTTTTAGGTATTTTCAACTTTTGGAACAAAAATATTTAAAAAAAATTGTCAAACTTTAGAATCCTATGTCGTTTCAAACAAGTTGTTTGTACGTTTTTTTTTGATATTTGTTTAAAATGTGCAAAAACTTGTTAAAATACATACATTTTATGTATGAAATTCTCTACATAACTGCATTTACCAATTTTCAACATTTGGAACAAAAAAATACGAAAAAATCGTCAAACTATATCGCTATATCGTTTCAACCAAGTCGTTTGTATCTTTTTTCGATATTTGTTTAAAATGTGCAAAAACTTGTTAAAACACATATGTTGTATTTTATATAGCTTAAAAGCTTACAGAATTCTCTACATAACGACATTTACCGATTTTCCACTTTTGGAACAAAAACAGTACGAAAAAATTTAAAATCGTATAACTTTGTAAACAAAATGTACAAGGGTTGTCCATTCCTGACACATTTTTTTAAATTTTTTGGATAATCTTTTATTTCCTAATTACTGCTTTTGAATGCTTTATTAAAAAACACATATAATCACAAATTTTCATCCCTTTACCACAAACCCCTATTTAATCATTTTAAAATAAATTATTTAATCGAACAATAGTCATTTTATCTCTCAACTCAGTATTCACAATTTCCCAGAAAAAAATTTAATGGCATTGAAAATAGTATTGTATATTTCAATAAATGACTTTTGAGATAAATTTATTTATTTTTTAAAAAATAATGGTCGAATGGGGTCTTAAAACGTGTGCACAAATTACTTTGTAAAAAATTGGGTTAAAAATTGATACTTTTGCAAACACAATTCCGTGCTACATAGAGCACTTTATCATTTTAACTTTGCAAAAAAAATTCTATGGTATGATTTTGAATATCGGTGTAGTTCATTAATTCTCCAATGTGCCTAAACCTAAAATTTGAAATTATACCATCAACCCTAAATTCTATTTCTTTCCACAGTAACGGATGCCGAGCACATTGAATTAATGGACTACATCGATTATTTCGTTCAAAATTGTACATTGGGCATGCTGGCGACTGAAGTGGCATTCCGGCATGGTCTACCCAAGGAACTATGTTGGCTAAATTTGGCAGCAGGAGTGACTCCTTTTCTCCTTCGATTGGCCGACAAACAGGATGAAGACAACAGTAAAAAATTGCTGGATGTTCTGCTCTGCGTCAGTGTCGGAACACTTCTATACATCACCATTTGTGATGGAAAACCTGGCCAGGATTGGGTGTCGGCTCTGGCCCTTTGCGGATTGTTGAGGGCCAAGGCTTTGGATAAATTGGAGAGCGATTATGATATTCCCAAAGATGAATCCTCTGCTTTTTTGCTGTGTCTGATGAGCTATTGTGGAGTCAGAGCCATTGCTGGACCACTTTTTAATTTTTATAACTTTATGTAGGGAGAAAAAATCGTTTTGGGTAGACAACAAATGGGATTGCAGTAGATCTCTGATGCCCAATTTTTTATTGCTATAATTTTTTCTAATAAACGCATTTGTACATAATTTTGTAACTGAATATTTTTTGTTCGAACATCTGGAAATACAATTGTACAATGATGTATCAAACATTTTTCTTTCATTGGGGACTTAACAAAAAATAAAAATCACAAGGAAGTTGTAATATACAACTCGGTGGATACTTTTATAGTTTTTAGCCAATATCTCGAAAATTTGTTCAAACACTTATAAAACATTTTCCATTTTCAAAAGTATAAAAAATTCTCTACAAAACTGCGGTAATTAAATTATACCAAATTATAGTAAAATTTTGCATAAAATTGCAACAAAATTATAATTTGTAACTCCGCGGTCAGAATGGGTTCAATAGACATGGACAATTTTATAGTTTAATTATAATTATAATTATATTATAAATTAAATATTTTTAAAAAGTATATAAAATTATCTATAAAAGTGCATTGACTAAATTATATCGAATCACAGTAAAATTTTGTATAAAATTGCAACAAACTTTTAATTTGTAACTCCGGGATCAGAAAGGCGACAATTATATAGTTTTAAAGCAAATATCTCGAAAACTTGTTCGAAAACATATTAAACATTTTCCGTTTTAAAAAAGTATATAAACTCTGTATACAAAAAAAGTATACAAAAAAAGTATACAAAACTGCGGTAAATTATAACATAATTATCATTAAATTATACAACCTAATACTAAAATTTTGCATAAAAAGACTTATAATTTATGACTGGAGGATTGATGATCGTGGACACTTTTACAGTTTTTTGCAAATATCTCGAAAATTTATTCAAACATTTACCAAACATCTTACATTTTTAAAAAAGTACATAAAATTCTTTGAAAATCTACACTAAACAAATTATACCACATACTAGTAAAATTTTGCATAAAATTGCAACAAACTTATCAATCTAAATTAATCAAATGATACCGCATAATAGTAAAATTTTGCACAAAATTGCAATAAACTTATACTTTATGACTCGACGCTCAAACAATACATTGGCACAATAATCATGCGCACTTTTTTGGTTTTGTGCAAATATCTTGAAAGTTTGTTCAAACACTTAATAAACATCTTGCATTTTTAGAAAGTACATATAATTCTTTCCAAAACTGCGTTAATAAAATTGTATCGCATAATAGTAAAATTTTGCATAAAATTGCAACAAACTTATACTTTATGACTCGATGCTCAAACAATACTTAATTGGCACGATAATATTGCGCACTTTTTTGGTTTTGTGCAAATATTTTTAAAATTTGTTCAAGCACCTACTAAACGTCTTGCATTTTTAAAAATTACATAAAATTCTATGCAAATCTAAATTAATCAAATTATACCGCATAATAGTAAAATTCTGCATAAAATTGCAACGAAATCCTAATTTGTAAGTCGACTGTCGAACAAGATTTAATAAGCATGGTAATTGTGAAAACTTTTGTAGTTTTTTGCAAATACCTCGAAAATTTGTTCAAACACTTATCAAATACATTACAGTTTTAAAAAGTACATAAAATTCTACGCAAAACTGCGTTAATGAAACTATGTCGCATAATAGTAAAATTTTGCAGAAAATTGCAACGAAATTCTAATTTGTAAGTCGACTGTCGAACAAGATTCAATAAGCATGGTAATTGTGGACACTTTTGCAGTTTTTGCAAATATCACGAAATTTGTTCAAACACTTATCAACCATCTTAAATTTTTAGAAAATATATAAAATTCTTTATAAAACTGCATAACTTAACTTAAATACAACCTTGTGATTTTTTTATTATGTCTCTTGCAACTTTGAAACGTGCGAATATAGAGTAAAGTATATAGAATATTCGACAAATTTATACAAATTTAAAGAATCTACAATATTTTCTAACGTCCAAAAATTCTACAGG